CGAAAAAAAGAAAATAATTTAAAAGAAAAAATATTAATTTTTTGCATTTCACGGAATTTTAATATTATGGGGGGTTACTTCATGAAGTGAAAATAATCATATCAGATCAGATCAGTTATTGACGATGACACTTTTTATTAGATCCTTTATAATCCCTAAAAATCACTTTTAATCCCAATGGTGAAATCATTTCACAAAATCGCCGTTCGTGCTACAGTTTATAACTTATTATATAAGATTCTGTTGAAATTTCTCTATTTTCTTTTTACATCTCTTTTTTTTTCTGCACGTGAAATGCCTTTCTTTTTATTATTCCTGCCATTTTTCCGATTTCTTATTTCTTAATTAAGTTTTTATTTATTTTTTATTTTTTACGCCATAATATAATGCACTATGGAAAGCAATATGAGATAGGTTTTACATGGAATTGCTTCATGAAAGGTGAATGAATCTTTTGTTGGAAAGATTGCGGAGGAAATGCTGCGAGTCAGGAAGATATCCTTTTTGGCGAAATTCTCCTCACCATAACGATTGGTGGATTGTCTAATAATTTTGAAATGATTAAAAAGAGTAAAGTGCGGTATTTAAATGGTATAGCAATCGTCTTGCTGGAATTTAAGCCAAATTATGATGAATATAATTATCGCAATTTTTTCGAGTTTTTTCTTACAGACAATTATTACTATAGTCGTCATAGAAAACTATATTGTATGAATAAATTTTGTACGAGATACAATGCAATTTTAAAATTTATATCAAAATACCATTATTTTATATTTTCAAACTGCATAATTTATATTAATTTACATTGATAATGATATGATAAAAAAGAATTTTAACAAAAAAAAATCAATCATTAATTTATCTAATTTTACCAGTTCTTATTAATTTTTCTTTTTTTAAATATTCTTTATGTTTATATATTATTATATATATTATTTCTCTTTTTTGAATATTAAAATATCATTGCTTTATATTTTCAGATTTTGTATTTATATTTTAAATTAAAAATTTTATATTGAAATTTTAACTGAAATTTTACATTATTATATTTTATATTTTCAGATAATATAACTGCAGTTGAGAAATCCGTTTGTACAGATTTAAAGAATTGTGCAAAATTGATTTCTCGCTGCCACTATCCGGATGTACTTCAAATTTATTGCCGAAAAACATGCAAATATTGCATATGATCTCAAATATTTTACTGCACTGAAGCTTGTAATCTTCATAAAATTTTTAATCATTAGCTCAATTTTCTCGACAATGATATGATAATATGATAACGATGATATGATTCTTCAGCTTCATGAAATAACAACGTTTATCCGTTTTTTTATCGATCCATTTCATAGGCCAATTTATTTAATTATTATTATTCGATAAAAATTTGAAATGAAAACAATTAGTTTGTGTGAACAATTAGTTTGTGAAGTGAAAGAAGCTTTTCGAAAAAAAATTATCATCAATAAAATATGGAATATAAAAGAAAAATTTTCAGAAAAATTATAATCATTTACAATCAATCATGAAAATTATTTTTTTCATTCAAGCAAAAAAGTCATAGATAAGTGGAAAACATGTCGCCTCGCAAGAACTTTACCAGGTTAAATAAAGACACATCTTCTCCTCTAACTTATCATACACATTTATCATATCATTATCACAAGTTGTATATTTCAGTATATTTCCATCTACTTTATTTGAGAATCGGCCTAAACAATCGAAAAAAAAATTTTTTCATCAATTTTTCGGTGATTTACAAACAATGATTTTTACATGGTTGAAATTGTATTTTATCATAAAATTCTACACTTTAATAAAAAATCCAAATTAATCACTGATACTGAAACTTTTAATGCTTAAATCTTACAAATATTTCCATAACGGCTACACTTCTATAAATCTATGGACCGACTGCGAGTACCATAAAACAAATGTTCTTCCCTGTACAATACGAAAAATTAGAAATATTAGAAAATATTAGAAAAATTGTGGACTCAATAAATTAATTTTAAATTTCCAAAGCCACCGTTGGTATTTGTTTGAGCTTGTGTGAAATTCTATTCTGAATTTAGCTTTCGGTCTTCTCTATAGGATGATCGCGAAAAATGCATATGATCTATCAAATTACTCTTGAGATTTTATCCAAAACTGAATATGGTACTTATTTTATTGAAGGAAGGTATTTGTGAGAACTCATCATGCCTATAACGTATTACATATACATATATATTTTTTAAGAGTCCACCCTGATCAAACTCGCTCTCGCTGGTTTGTCGCATTGGACAAGTATATCAAGGAGTTCCTTGGCGATATAGGTATAGGCGATATAAGTATGATACTATAAACATGACATTATACTATATCCTCAGGGTAGATAATCTTATATCATCTAAACAAAACAGCTATGCGACGTCATTAAAAGGTTGCCTTTAACCTTTCAGTGATTCAAATAACAATGGAGCTGCAGCTATTATGGAAGTCTATGCTTGAATTTGGCATCAGTCCCTAATTTATATAGTACCATGTCACCAATATGTCAATGCAATCACTCGCTAGCATGACTACGATTTTTACTCACTCGTGGAATTTTTTAGAACTTCAGCAACAACATTCCAAATTTGACAATCTACTGAGCCAATCTATCCATAACGTATGTATATATATGCAATGGTTATATTCTAACTTTATATAAACTTTATATAAATATTCTATTCTTCTTTAAGTATCTATATTATTCACAAATGCATGTCCTAATTGCAGTTTTAATATTTCAATATTATATTTGAAAATATAAAATGTAATAACTATTTTAATATTTTAATTTAAAATATAAGATATATTTGAAAATACAAAATAGTGCTATTTTAATATAAAATATAAATAAATTAATACTAAATATAAAGCCTGAAATTAATCGAAATTGAACAGAAACACTTACTTCGTCTTTCGGTCAAATCCCATATCGCATTTGTCGTAAATCTAAGCCATTATTATAATAAAGATTCTTTGAAAATTAAAATTAATCTGAACAAATGGAAAAAGGTATTTGGGTAAGTAAAATCTGAACAAATGGAAAAAAGTATTTGGGTAAGTAAATCTTGATTGTTACGAGTGAAAGTATTACGAGTGAAATTCCTATTAATATAATGCTAAACGAAATAAGTTTAACTTTAAAATTACTTAAATCTATTTGTAAAACCAAAATAATAACTCATAAATTTTTATACGCCCATTAAATTATTCGAACAAATAGTTCACCCGGGAAAATAGTTTTAATTATATACAAATATTTAATGATTAAATTTGATGAGATTATTTCAGATTAATTTAGATTATAGAAATTTAAATAACTTTAGCTAAACAATATTCCGACTTTGTTTTAATTTATTAATTTATTGAAATAATTTTAATAATTTATTAATTTATTAAAATAATTTTAATAATTTAAAAAAGTAACTAATTTCTTAAAAATTGTCTGAATGAAATAAATTAATAAATTAATTATCATTAATTAGTCCATTACTCTCATTTTTAGTTGAAATTATTATAATTATTATAATATTTTAAAACTTCCATGTGTGCAGTTCTAATCATAAATATACATGAAATACAAGTAAAAGCCTTTTATAATTGCAGCAATTTTTTAAAATATAAAAGGGTTATTTTATACGAGAAATTTTGAAGGACTGCTGCTTAACATGGAAATAATATGACAGTATTTTTGCAACGGCTATTCTATAATGATATTTCCTTATTTTAGTGAAATTGTTTCTGTAAAATTTTTGCCAAATGTATAAAAATATCAAATCACCTACTAGTAAAAAAAATAATTTTAATAATTTATTAAAATAATTTCAATAATTTATTTATTAAAATAATTTTAAATTTTAATAAATTAATAATTTATTAAAGTAATTTCAACAATTTATTAATTCATTGAAATAATTTTAATAATTTAATTTATTAAAGTAATTTTAATTAATTAATTTATTTTAATTAGTTAGCAAAGAGCTCCGCAAATTGCCTAGCATGAGCCCTAAAAACTACCATACTGAAAAAATTTTAGTACGTGATATGACCTAATTCAGACTAAACCATTTGCATTTGTCACAGATTTCTCAATGAAACAAATCACTGGTTCGATCTAATTCGGCGTGCAAACTCACTTAGTACCACTGACGGTGAACATCAACACATTTAAAAGATTTTTTTAGCACTATAAAAAGCGTTAACTTTCTTTCTTCACAAAATAACGTTGCCATATCGTATTTCTTTCTCCCTCCAATTGCCCAATGTTCGTTGAAATAAGCTTTGAACAAATTAAGAAGGAATTCGCATAGAATTTTGGAAAATATTGCCATTTCCACCTCGAAAGTCTAATAATATTCAAATGAACAAAATTTACTACAATACTACAATTTATACTACAATTTTAGCAATTTGTGTATACACCATTTTCCCACATTGCTTCAATTTTCTACTGTTTGATTTCCCTTCAGTTAATTCCCCTTCTATTTAATCTATTTTCGGTTAAGAAAAATTTCCTTCAACTTCTTTATTCGAATTTCAATGAAAAGAAATAACAAGAAATAACAATTTTATTAGCTTTCAAGGAAAACGCGATTTATAAACGCTAAACAATTGAGCCGATTCTTTCTGAACTAATTCTCCAATGAAGTGATAAACTTTTCCGGATTAGCGATATCAATACGCATTCCTCTTTGCAATTATATAAATTTAGTAAGTTAGGGCAAGAAGCAAGCCAAATCAAAGGATATTCCAGCTTGCTTCTTTAACACTGTTTAACCCTTAAGCCTATCGTGGGGTTGTTTGACCTCACATATGGAAAATAAAACAAATATAACCGGTACAAAATAAAAAATGAAATACAAGCATTTAACAAATTACATGAACTCAAATAAATCATATTATAAATCGAATAGCTTTTAACCGATAATGAAAAATATAGAGCTCACGCACGTTTATCTAAAAATTCATGCCACTAATCCTGTTGAATTTGACAGAGAAGTGGAAAGAAAACTAGGATCACTACCCGAAAAATCATTGATATAGTTTGGTAGCTCAGGAATGCTAAGAGGCTGTTCTTGAAGTTTGTAGCCATCAGAATATAAAAATTTCTCCTGAAGATTATGAAGTCGGATCACTTTCTTTGATGGAAGTGTCGACAGCAAATTAAAATCTTCATAGTCCAGTAAGAAATCGAATATCTGAAAATTTAAGTCGATTAAAGTGCTGACCAAATAGAAGCGATAGAATTTAGTAGAATAAAATTCCTAAACAATACCTGACAATTCTCAGCAATTCTTTCAAATTTTCGACTCTTTGGAATAGCTGGAATTCCTTGCTGAACAGACCACTTGATACAAATTTGAGCCGCACTTTTATTATGCTTCTTCGCTATTGCATTAATCACTTCCTCGTTTAGAATAGTTCCCTTTGCAAGTGGACAATAACCCTAAATTACTCGAGAATATTTTGTTATTACTAGACGTAAATTAGACGCAAACTAAAACTGATATGAACAGTTAAGATAAAAAGCCAAAACGCATATAAAAGAAAACAATATCATATTTATGACTGAGATTTAAAATAATACCGTAAATACGATTTTTTCATCTCGACAATACTCAATAAGCAGTTTGTTATTGTAACAAACATGAAATTCACATTGATTTACATGTGGTTTTATGCTACAATATTCCAGAAGTTCATCGAGATCGTTTTCTGAATAATTAGAAACACCAATTGCTTTTATCGAGCCTGAAAAAAACTCAATATGATTTACTAGATTCAGTGAATTATACATCATTATAGAGCTAAAAAATCACTCAAAGCCAATTTTTTCGAAATAAAGATGGATAAAAAATAAATCAGTGAATAATAAATGAATCCAAAGGAGTTGATAAAACCCGTCGAATCTTGCGATGGTTGGCGTCAAAAGCGGAGAGGGTCAATAAGACCTAGACTGGCGTAGTCAGAAAGATTTTTAAAGTATAGGGGGACAAGTGATATATGGACATAGACGATAGAAAAAGGAATGGCTTCTATTATTACTAGCGATGGCGTCGGACTTAGCAGCTTGGAGACGCCTTATCCTTGTAAACCAGTGGAGCTAGCTTAGTAAAATAAATGGTAAGAAGAAAAATGGCAATAACCAGTAACTTATAAGGCAACAACCAGTAACTGATGAACAATTTAGTGAAACACAAATATGAAAAGAGAAAAATACGATTTACGATAGTGAATTAAAAAGAATGCCTTCATCATAAAGATGTTCTAGTGCTCGCCATGTTTCTTCCTGAATTTCTCGTGGTTTAGTAAACCAGTTTGGAACAACGGGCAAATGAATCATGTAGAGATCTAAAATACTTATATACTTGTTTAAAATATTTAATCATAAACCTTAACCTTCTTTAAAATTTTTGACTAAACTTTTCACATTTTTCAAATTTCAAATTTTCATATATATCTAACAGGTTTCACCAGATTCAAACTAATCGGAACCAATCGGAAAAAAAGTCATCTAAACCAGCTGCAAAGATGATCACTGCATCAAGTTAGTATTGGAGGGAAAACTGAAGTGAGTTCACTGCAAAAAGAAAAATATTTACTATAATAATGCAATTTATTAATAAATGATTACCAAGATAATCAGTTCCTAGCAATTCACAAGAACGTTTACATGCCATATGAGTAGCGGAATTTCCGAGATCAACTGGCCATAGTTTTGTGGCGAGAAATATCGATGATCGAGGGATTCCCGATTCCTAAAATAAACCTGTTGTAAAAACAGCAAATCTAATTATAATTAAACAAAAGCTGTACAAATTTCCTTTCTATTGGTAGTAGACATTATTTCTCGGTTTAGCCAGCTCCAACTGCCATTAGATTAAGACCATTTCCCAATGAAAATAGATATTAGAAATGATATAGGGCGAAATAGATAATAGATAATCCTCTTACAATAATATATATGTAAATCACCAGAGACCCGTTAAAGAATTTGGAAAATGTCACTCGACTGGTGCAGATAGCAACCACAGTCGTGCTCCGCTCCTTTTATTCTATTTTTGCACCCTATGAAAATGTAGAAGAAAGTAAGAATAGACAAAAAAGAAATATTTCACTGCTATTGTTTAATTTTTTACCTTAATAGCAAGACCAATTTGTCTTTCAACACCATATCGTTTAGCAGTGTCGATCATTCGATAACTGCAATCTTTTAATGCATATACAACTGAATTATGATGATAACCACCAGAATGTGTAGTACCTAAACTATTTTTCATGAAAGTTGGGGAAATAATTAAATCATTTCTGGTTTGGTTTAATAACAGATTCACCCTTATCAACTGTAGTAAACGAACTCTCTTTCTCAATACCACTCGGCTGTCCTCGCACTCCATCATTTGCATTTGTAAATTCATCTCAACTTCGCATTCGCATTAATCTTTTATTAAAAATAAATTCTTGTTTCATTCATTAATTTTTTTCGATATTTAATAGCTCACTATTTAGATAAATCGAAATCATTTATTTTAAAGATGAATAGGGAATAAAAATTTATGAATTTCTTTGTTTATCAAACATCATTTATCACTTATACGTTATCATTTATCTTGGTTAAATCACAAAATTACAATTAGGTATTTCACTTTTTTTTAAATAATTAATGTCGAATAAATATTTTTTTTTAGAAATTAATAAAATATGAAAATTACCAAGGCCAATAAGTGGCATTTTGACGCGATTTGATAATTCAATTGATGGACAATTTGCAAACGATTCTAATGAAGACGACGATGAAGACGGTGGAACATTTGGATAATTACTGCTTAACCGCTGATCCATATTCTCCTTTGCAATCACCAATTGATCTTGAAATTTAAATTTGAAATTAGTGAAGAAATTTCGAAAAATAGCAATCAATTGAAACGAAACGAAAAAACCGACTCAGCATAAATGCACAATTGAAATCATTCTTAATTTCTCACCGATTAAAACTAACGTAACACCTTTCAAAAAGTGATTTCCCCTATAATAATAGCTAACCATTCGAACGATTCCAACTGGAAATGCTGAACGCTAATGGTTAGCCGACTTATTAATTACTAACTTCCTAATTAACGTTTTCATAAATAAAATATTCGAATTTGTAAGAAAAATTTAAAAAATTTCAAAAAAACTAGAAAAAATTGAAAAAAATTGACAATTCTAAGAAATTCATTTTAAAAATAAAAAAACTATAAAAAAAACTATCGAATTGTAAACTTTACAAGTTTTTTCTTATTATTCCAACAGCTTCCACCATTATTACTGATTGGGCTAAATGACAAAAAAGGAACCAACAACAACCAAACGCAACCACTTCCAAGCAAAGCCAAAGCCATTTTGAGCAAAGCAGACGATTAAAGCCAAAGAACGACCAAAACTAATCAACCAACCAAACCACCAAGCAAAGCAACTCGCCTTTTCCCCCACCCATTAGACATACCCTTCCTAACCAGAAGGGAATCCCAGTACCAACCACGTTCTACGGTAAACAGCCAAGGACTCGAATTCAACTGATTTCTCTTCGCCTTATATAAGCGCTTGCTTGCCTACAATTCATTAAACTTCTCTGTTTGTCTCGCCAATACTATTTCGGTATTGAATATCTATTTCTCTAAGAATTCAACAATGCTCTATTTTCTGTGTTCCTCCTCAATTAATATTTTCTTTTCTCGCGCTTCGAATCTCTTTATTTCATGTGCTTTCTCATTTGAAAAATTCACATGATTATCACTTGAATGAATTGTTGCGATTCACGTGGTTTTTTTTTGTTGTAAATATTTTTGCAAAAATGCTTATAGGAATAATTTCATTTTTAGCTGAAAAGATTTGAGAAAATAGATGATTTAGGGTTAAAGGTCAAACGACAAATCGTCATCCACATTGGTGGCGGAAACTGGTATTGCGACTAATCCAATCGCTTTGATTCTATTACGGTAGAATTCAACCTTTGACCATTCAACGATCAAATTAGATTAGTAAATTACTAACCTTGACTAATTTCCATCAAAATATATTTTAAATATAGAAAGATGAAAATTGAAGGAAATTTTACTTTCAGTTTATCTATTTTATTTTCAAGCAATGTTATCAAAAACTTTACCATGTGATTTTATCAGTTGTTATCAGCTGTCGTCTAATCAATGGACAACAATAGCAATAATGTGTTCTTCTTGTTTTTTTTCGAATTAACGCATATTATCAGTGATAATCTTTTTCTATCATCGAATTTTACTTATGAAAATATTTCAAGTTGAAAAACATCGGAAAATTAATAGACAATAATTTTTTTTTTCCATAAGTATTAAAAATTATTTATATTTTAACGCGAAATATTTCTCGTAGAAGCTATAAATAAATCAATGGCATAAGAGCAATAATATAAATGCGAAAAAATGAAGCTTCGCAATGCAATCGAATAAAATCCATGCATTGGCTTTAATATTCCATTAATTTGGCCCTTAAATGAAATGCTTTTTGTGAGACAACAATTAGGGACCAAAGGCATTGGCTTTAAGGTAATCTCGTGATACATTTACTAGGGATTTCTATGCTTAAATAATTGGTATTTATAAAAAATAATTAAAAAATAATTTATTTAAAAAAAATTATAAATAAATTTACAAATAATTTGCAAAATAAATTCATTATTTAGCAATTTTTATAATTAATATAATTATAATTAATATAAATTTTAATAGATTTTTTAAATATTTTTAATTTTAATATTGGACTAATTGGAAAAATAATAAAAAAAATATTATTTATTAGTTGAAAATTTAATTTATAAATTTTTCGAATAAAATAGTTGAAAAAAATAAATAAATAAAAATATTTTAATAGACGACAAAATTATACCAAAAATTCAATAAAATTTTTTTTTCCGCAAAAAATCGAAGAATTTCTTGAATAATTCAACAATAATTTTTAATGAATGGCCTTAATTCTTCATCGTCTTTTGGCTTCGCATTATTGTTGATTTGGCTGTGGTTTCATCGACGAATGATTAGGCCAAAGATTTTTTCAAGGCTCATAACCGATCAAATAAAAAACTAATACTAAAAATGAATATCGAATAATATGCGAGAAGAGAGGAGATCTTGTTTAGCAGATCTTGCAAAATGCTATCTATCTGCTTATCATAAAACGGCAAAAAATTATTTTGGTCTGATAAGCCTTAGTCTCAGCGAATTGGCTCTAATTAAAGACTAGTCCAAGCATTTTTAGACACTGAATTCATCGCAAAGACTAATAGAGAGTTTTCTCAACCAGAGTACCACTATGATGAAAATATTCATCGAGGATTTTTGTGTTCTTCGATTATATTATGCTATATATCAATGATCGGCTTATATAGGAATCCACTGCGATCCTCAGGGAATAGATGTTCCATTCGAATGGTACATAAATCACCTTTCATGAATATTTTATACGATTTATTATACATTCATTCAAGATTCTTAGGTGAAAAAATTAGAACATTTTAAAAATTTGGAAGTTGAAAATGTTGCACTGGGGGGGATTGATGGATCTTTATGGTGTTATTTAGGAAGGTCTCATAAATTTCTGTATTTTTTTTCAATAGCATCATTATTGATTAGACTCGCTCGTTTGGCTTGTCCTACTATGTAAATATGCCAGACAGTTCCTTGGCGATACAAGTAAAGATAAATCGGTCGCTAACATCACCTCGATTTCCGGACGAGTTTATTCCTGCAAATTTCTACATTTATTCTCTATCGTTTATTTTTCTCCTAGCTATTTTTTTCACATTTATCGAAACACTACTCAGTTATTCTCTCCACAGCTATCCCCATCCTGAATTTAAAAAAAAAGAAAATTTGTCATATTAGTTGATTTATTAGTAACTTCTTTTTCTTCCTGATTTTTATGTTTGTCATTAATTTATATCAGTACCATGGCTCGGGCCTTAATTAATATCAGTACCATGGCTCGGGCCTTAATTAATATCAGTACCATGGCTCGGGCCTTAATTAATATCAATACCATGGCTCGGGCCTTAATTAATATTAGTACCATGGCTCGGGCCTTAATTAATATCAGTCAGTACCATGGTTTGACCCCTAATTTTAAAAATAGAAAAGGAAAAAAGAAGAGAGTCACCAACTTTTTTTGCTAACATCACTCATAATTTCTAATTTATTCCACCACCCTATAAATTACAGTCAACCACTTCCAACAAGGAATCGCATGAAGCAAACGCTATATCAACAAGAACTTCCATGAGATTTTCACAGGTAAAAGGGCTAAAATACAGTCTTATTTTGCGACTGCAATTTAGTCATTTGCAGATTTTTGCAATTTTATGTTATTGGCCATTCGAGAGGAGTTCTTTTTGTGGTATGTAAGGTGGAAGTGAAGTGGGTGTTAACCAGGGCTTATTTCTGTGATGTTTAATTAGTGGCTGAGAGGACCACGAAGGAGTATGGCGAAGATGATTGATTAACTGCGAGGCGAGCAGCTGATAGTAGTTTACCTTAAGCAGGTCTCCAAGCTGCCCGGTCCGATGCCATCGCTAGTAGTAATAGAAGTCATTCCTTTTTCCATCGTCTAAGTCCATATATCGCTGGTTCCTCTATACGTTCAAAATCTTTCCTGACTGTATGAGTCCAGGTCTTGACTGGCCCACCTCGCTTTTGACTCCAATCATCCTAGACTTTAGCAAATAACGAAATATGCGTCAACTGCTGTGGTGGGCAAACGTGCTCTAACCAGTAAAGGCCGAAATACGAGCAGCGTAATATGCACCGAACTATTTTAATCGTTGATTATTTCTTATCTTATTTTTCGAGAAGATTATTGATGTTCGATTAAATGGCAAGTTTTCGACTTATACCAATTTCTCGATACCATCGACTTCAACAAACAATTTCCTTCATTGGCTCGATTCGTTATAAATGGCTCTCCGGAAAGGTTTTTTTTTCTTACTTGCTTCTTTTCTTACTTATCTTTTTCTTATTTTTTATTATTTTCAAGAAACATTTATATTTAAAAAAAATAAATCCATTCTGAGATGTTTTTTTCTTTGTTTACTTTTTTTGATTCTTTTTTCTCGTTTATTTTCAATCGGATTTCTCCGCTATAGGATGCTAAAGGACCCAATGTACCGGTTGGATCTCATACTGGCCATCCAGACAATCCGCTCTATCATACTCGTGATCGCGAATATTTTGGTTCTCCTGAGAAAGGCGACACCATTCGTCCAGCGTATGTTTTTGAATTTATATTTGTTTAATTGTTTAATTGTTTTATTGATTATTTTAAGATATAAATAAAATAATTTGCTTTTCATAATTTTTGCTTTCGGGCATTTTTGAGAAATTCAATTTTCAGATTCATGTATCGTGAATTTCAAGCAAACACTTCCTACATAGATAGGACAGTGGCTTATTACATTAGCGCATTCTTTTGGTTCTGGATGTTTTATCACTTATATTACTTTCCTGGCCATATATTTGTAATATATTTCAATATTTTCAATTAATTTATTAAAATCTTTTTTTCAGTTTTTATTTTTCTTAATTTCGATTAATTTTATAGCGATTTTAATTTGGGCGCTTATTAATCACTGAAAAATATTTTTAAAATATTTTTTTATAGTATTTTATTTATTTTTTAATTTTAGAATACTTTTCATTTGTATGTTTTATTTATGAATGGTTTCAGGGTCATCATCATGCTCCATATTTAGAGGAGTTCACTGATGAAGAATTGGGAATTCCTGATGATAACGCTCCAGATCCTGAATATTGGGGAAATCATTACGAAAAACCAGGAACTTATAGATAAATTAGCTGGTGCTATCTGATGTTCATTATTAATTGTCAGATTTTTTAACATCCTTCAGTTGAATCTTATTAAAGTACAGAAACCTAATGAACCTTAATATTTTGAAAGTCGAAGAGGATAAAATATTCATCTCTATTGTTAGTATAATTTTCTATCGGGGAATTTCAATTCAGGATATGTCAATTCAGTAGTTTGTAAGAAATTCATATATTATAAGCTTTATAAATTTTATTTCGGCAAGTCCCAATAATATACTTGTTGAATACAAGCTGTTTAGTCGGTACTTACGTTATGACGTTTTGCTTTTATTAGCGTAAATATTTCTAGTACTGTGGTTCGTTGCTTGCATTATTTATGTAATGAAAGACCCTGTACGGGTGGTTGTCTGTGAAAAAGGGAAATATGACTTAAATTTTCTCCAATCAGAGATCGCGAAATGTGTAGAAGTTCATTATCCATTTCTGGACTATGGCTGGAATGAACAATTTGAAAATGTTTGATTTCGAATTATTTGCATGTATATGAATTATTTGAAAGTGTTTTTAGATTATTTTGAGAAATATTTTATCTATTTTTTTTTTAGGTCATTTCACGATTATATGATCTTCTGCTTAAGGTTTTTCATATGTTATCTTCGGCTTAAGGCTTGCTAATTGTTTTAGTGGGTATTAGAAGATTAATTAATTATTAATAGCTATTAAATAAATTGATAAAAGAAGGTTGTAAATAAGCTGAAAACAAGACTTTTAAAAAACTTTTTAATAGATCGGGGAAGATTCATTGAAAGCATGGAAATTCCATGTGACAAGGCACATCTCAAAGGTAGTCAAGTTTTTATCACACTGAATTTATTGAATTAAAAACAGAAAAGTTATGGATATAAATTTTTTTTTTAATTTGAAATATATTTCGTTTGAGAGGGAAAAGTTAAACAAAAATTGTGCTTTACACCTATTTTCTTTCAGTAATATCCACTTCAGTTTAAATAAATATGAAACTTTATGGTGTTACAGAGTTTTTAATTTTAAGACAAATGTAAGTGGCAAGATATAGTAAAAATCTCGTTTAACTTCCCAAAATTGCAATGATTTTCTGATTTTTAAAATTATCTATTTCTTTATCAGATATCAGCAGAGGAGAATTAAAATTGTTTACGACTCTGGTGATCGTCAATCATCGAAGCTCATAAAGCTTTACCCTGGCCTTATTTTCTTCATTCGATGTTCATTTTAATATTTTTAAAAAGTAAATAAGGAATGGAATCATATTTCTTAAAAGAAAAATCGAACAAATATTGTTGATCGAGTTAGAAGCAGCATTTTTTAGTTTTTTATATTCATTACGCAGTAAAGCTCCACAAAATTCCAATAGGCGAGATTCTCTAACGAAAAGATCTTATTCATCCTATAAATTAGTGAACCAAGCCAAATAGCCAAGTGCTATTTGTAGTTGAAGAGGATCTAACTTAAAGTATAGGCGAGTGGACAACATCGTCAGCATTTTTAAAAGATTTATTCCCTTCGGCGATAATAAACGAGCATCCGAAATATAAGCAACAACTCATTGTTTCCGCTAAAGCATAATTAATATTCTTTTAATTTAAAATTTTCTTATATTTTTTAAATTGAATTAATTTTTATTTCTTTTAATTTTTATTAATTTTTTAATGAAATTTTTATTTAACATTTTTTTTTTTATTTTATAAGATTGAAAAAAAATCTGATAACGAATAATTTTTTTTAATGCCATTTGAAAAAAAAAAAGAATTTTTCATAATAAGAAATAGAGAAATATTCAATGAATTCCCTTAGGGAATATTAGGCAATCATTATAGTTAATCGCTAATGCAATCGTCATGATATCCTTTAATCCTTTATTTTCTTCGTCCCTAATAATGCTTTTCACAATTATTGCTTACGATCTTTTCGTTTTCATATCGTTCGCAAATTCCAGTGCACACGAATATCGACTTCTTCAGGACCTACGTGAGGTTGTTTTCGTAAATTTCACAAGTCCTTTTATGCAGTCCTTTTCAACGATCTATTTTTTGCACCTTATATTTTCTGTGATCCTTCTAAAGAAAAGCAAAAGAGATTGGTAGAAATTGATTTAAAAACAAACTGCTGTACATCTTCTTCTTCTAACAGCAAATATTACTGGTTAGGCTGGCTCGGCTGGCTACAAGAGTAAGAGTGGGTTCCCTAAGCTGTCTGGTCCAACGCCATTGCTAGTAGTAATAGAAACGATTCCTTTTTCCATCGTCTAAGTCCATATATGGCTGATTTCCCTTACTATACCTTCAAAATCTTAATTAGTCAGACAAACCAGAAATGGTTCATAATTCATAAATTTTAATTTTAATTTTAATAATTCATGAATGGCTAAAAAAAAATTAAAAAAGGCTATTCAAGAAAATATGACTTTAAAACTTTTCAGAATTACGACTATTTCGAAAGGCCCGTAAAAAATAGTAGTACCGCATTGCCGATCAAAGTTCGTCTCTTCCTGAATCAAATTTTAGATGTGGTAAATTTAAATGCGTTTATTAAATCTTATAGAGTGTAGCATTTTCTCTTTCTGGCCAGAAACACGCTAACTCTAAATGAATTTGACTGAAATTTCAGGACGAAAAGAATCAAATAATGAAAGTGATGGCTTGGTTACAATATGTTAGAAAATTATCATTAATTGTTGAACGATATGGCTAGAAATTTCAAAAATTTTTTCAAATTTTTTTAAAAGTTTGATCAAGTTGAAGCCGCCATTTCTACAGTTTCTACAGTTTCATGCACAAACATTTGGCTCCTCCTCATTTGGCTAACTTTTTTGAAATTTCTATTCATTTAGAATTGGACAGATTATAAACTAATATGGGATCCTAAGCATTACGGTGGTATAAGCGATGTAAGATTTTCTGGTCATAGTACGGCACCAATTAGAATTTGGAAACCAGATGTGTTACTCTTTAACAGGTGATAAATGTTTATCATTTGTTTTTGTTTATTTATTTTTTGATTTTCGATTTTTCTTTTTCCGCTCCTTTATTAAGATGAATTATTTCATAATTATAGCGTTGCTGAAACATTCGATTCAACATTTTCGTCAAATTTTATCGTAAAACATACCGGTGAAGTTATACAGAATCCACCTGGAATTCTAAAATTTGGATGCGCAATCGATATAACTTGGTTTCCATTCGATGATCAAATATGTTTCTTGAAGGTGATTTGATAATGCGATTATCATCAATAATATTTTTTTTCTTATGAAATTTTTATCAGAAATTTATTAATTTACTCGATTAAATATTAAATTCGCGATCGATCGATTTAAGTCAGTTTTCTCAGAGTGTATCTCAGAAAATGTATCCTCTTCTTCAAACGAGCAATTTTTTTTAGTGATTGACGATCATGGGCTAAGAGATTAAAAGATTAAGAATTCTATGCTGATATTCTGAATATTTAGAATTCATAAAATTATTGATATTTAAAATTTTAAGTTTGGTTCGTGGACCTATTCGGGTGAATTTATCGATTTGGATATGGATTTAACTGGTATGAATGAAGGAATAAACGATACTGAATATTCTTCGATTCCATTTCGCGATAAAGATGATCCCGATAGCTATTTCGTTTTCGATTCTATCGACCGAACATTTTACATTGATAATGGCGAATGGTCATTATTAAGTGAGTTGAAATTTTTCTCATTTTCACCTAAGCTTTTTTTTTTT